AATGGAGGGAGGTGAAGAGCAGTGACTTCTACGGGTCTGTACTGGGGGCAGTGCTATTCAATATATTAATTAATTATCTGGAAAAAAGGATTAAACAATGAGGTGGCAAAAACTGCAGACAATACAGATCTACTCAAGTTAGCTAAGTCCAAAGAAGACTTTGAAGAGTTACAATGGAAACTCCTCAAGCTGGATGATTGGGCAACAAAATGGCAGATGACATTCAGTGTTGCTAAATGCAAAGTAATGCAGACTGGAAAACATAATCCAACTGTACATATAAAATAATGGAGCCTAGAAAGGGATCTTGGATTCATTGTGACTTGGTCTCCAAATACATCCACTCTGCAGCTGCAATCAAAATAGCTGAACAGAATGTTGAGAATCATGAGGAAAGGGGTAACTAATAAGCAGGCCCACTGATGGGGGGGAGGGAGGAAGACAAAGTGGGCAGTTGCCCTAAACCTGGTGATTTAAAAAGGGCCCAGGGCTCCTGGCTTCTGCTGCCACTGTTATTCCAATGGCAGCAGCCAGAGCCCCAGGCCCTTTAAATTGCTGACGGATTGGTGCGTTAAATTGCTGATGCGTAGTGCATTCCCAGCAGCACTAAGGGCTGTCAGTGGGGAAGAGGGGAGGGAGGAACATGGTGCACTTTGAGTGGTATTGAGGGCTGTCTGCCTTAGCCACATCCCTTCTGGGAGCTCAGAGCTGCCCACCCCCCTTTCCCAGGGATCTGGCAAGACTGTCAGTCTCCCTCCCAATATGACAGAAAATATCATATTGCCTGTATAGAAATTCATGACATGCCCACATCTTCAGTAGTACATGCAGCTCTGGTCACCCCATCTCAAAGAAATATAAATTGTTTTTTGGAAAAGATGCAAAGAAGGCCAAAAAATGAACAACTTTTATCTGAGGATAGATTAATAAGACTGGGACTTTTTAATTTGCAAAAGAGATTATTATGGGGGTGGGGAATATGATAAAGTCTATAAAATCATGATTAAGATGGATAAAGTAAATAAGGAAGTGTCATTTACTCCTTCTCAGAACACAAGAATTAGGAGGTTTCCAAATGAAATTAATAGGCAGCAGATTTAAAACAAACTAAAGGAAGTATTTCTTCATGCAGTACGCCATCAGTCTGTGACACTTTGTTAGAGGATATTGTGAGACTAAGTTATAACTGGGTTCACTAAAAAACTAGATAAATCCATGGAGGTTAGGTCCGTCAATGGCTTTTAGCCAGGATGGATAGGAATGGTGTGCCTATAGTCTCTGTTTTCCAGAAGCTGGGAATGGGTGACGGGGCATGGATCACTTGGTGATACCTGTTCTGTTCATTCCCTCTGGGGCAGCTGGCATTGATCACTGTCAGAAGAAAAGATAACGGGCTAGAAAAAACCATTGGTGTGACCCAGTATGATGCTGCTTATTTTCTTAACATTTTAGGGTACATCTACATGGCATGCTTATTTCAAAATAAGCTATTTTGGATTTTTTTCCGAAATAGCTTATTTTGAAATAGCACGTCTACACTACAGGGAAGCCTCAAAATTAGTCCAAGGCAGGCTTTTCTAATGCGGACTTGCTACCTTGATTTAGAGCCCCGGGAGGCTCATTACTTTGAATAGCCCTGGGAGCTATAGAAGCAATGGAGTGTCCACACAATTGCTATTCCAAAATAGCTATTTCGGAATCAGCATTATTCCTCATGGAATGAGGTACTGATTTCTAATTAAGCTGTCTGTTATTTCAAAGTTATTTCAGTATAATGGAATTGCTGTGTAGATGCTTGCATTGTTATTTTGAAATAACAGCCATTATTTCGAAATAACTGTGCTCTGTAGACGTACCCTTATTGATTAAAAAAATCTACTCCTTCCAAGAATATTTTCAGCTTTTTTATGTTTCTTTAATTTTCATGCTTTCTGTCCTGTATTGGAATTGAAAGTACTCTGTCTCTTCTGGAGTTAGATCACTAGCTGGCTCTATCTGTCAAGAACTGATGTTTTAGTGAATTTAAATCACACACTTAAAGAGATTATATCTAGACTTCAAGGCTGCAATCTTTCATAAGCAACTACATTGGTGGACCCTTGCCAGAGTCCATGTAAGTGGGGTTCCATAGGAATATAGGGGTTCATCCATACAATTGTCTTTGGAAGAACAGGGGAAGATTATCAGTTTGAAACAGGTAATGTATTGCAAAGTGAGCTGTGTGAATGAAATGTTCGATGACATAGATGAAGTTACAACCTTAGGAGTGCAGGTAGCTAAATGCTAAACCTGTGACTCTGCATATAAAACAATAGTACCTGCAGTTTATTGCTTCATAGGACTATGGAAAGATTAAACAAACCATGTTTGCCTAATGGAAAAAATAACATATGGACATAGTGAACAGCACAAAGGTGATTAATCCAACTACCTCCTCCCTCAACTCACAGTATTCATTTTGCTGTAATGTTTCCTACAACATATTTCTTTCTTAATGCTAAACAATAAATGTATTAGTAGTTTGGTAAGCTTTTTAATAACTTGTCCAAGATAACTGTGCAAATAACATACAACTGATTAGTATATTTTAAGTAAATACCCAGTTTGCTGTTGGTGAACAGGCTATAAGCATATTGAATAACTGATGTTTATATATTATTTGAAATTATTTGCCAGATACTGAGAATAATTATTGATCAGTAGCTGATGTGCAACCACTTCATTTTAATGATTTGATAGTCCAAATTCAAGCTCTGTCATTGGCATCTAGGTCACATGGGGTACTTCGGCTGCCCATTAGAGGTGGTAGCTCTTAGGAATAATTTCCCAAAGTGAATGTTTATGGAAGCAAATTTAAAATTCACTTTTCTGCAAATTCTTTTCAATGTTCACTTAAAATATGCTGTTTCTGTGACTGCAATTAGCACTGCTAGAACATTCCTAGGAAGTGACTGCAAAAGGGTCATAGGAACACAGCTGAGGCAAATTAATTTAAGACAGTTGAATTTGCAATATTTTTACAGCATTTGCTCATCTGGAATATTCAGGCTTTTAATAGGTGTTTACTGACACTCGACAAAATACGTATGCGACTTCTAACCCCACCTCGTTGTAGTATCGTATTTGCAAAACTACAATTATCAGAGACCAGCAAACTTGGAATGGACAATGTATTGTAATCGCAGGTGTAGTTCAGTGAATCATTTTTGTGTTTGTTTCTAACAATACAAGGACCTGATCCAAAGTCCTTAGCAGTCTTTGCATTGACCTAGGTCAGAATTCAATTGCTTTCTTCCCATCTTTGTGACCAGGTAAGAAAGTTTTAGCCCGCTCAGTGTAATTTTATTTTAGACTTTTTAACCTCTGTTCACTTGTCAGTAGCCAATGCACCGACTGACCGCCGCCCGTGTCTCTCTTTCGGGCTGATTGGCTAAGTGCCACCTTTATTTCCAAGCAGTAACGGCGAGAATGGCTGGCATTAAAGCGGTCTCTCTGCCACTTATCTTGTTCCCTGGACCCGGCACAGAGCCCTTGTATTGATAGCCCTGACCTAGGTGCTGAAACACCCTCTCGGCTGCTGTTCTGGGTGCTGCAAAGTTGGAGGAAGACCCCAAGGCGGGACTGATTGGCAAGCAGATTGAAGCCGGGAAAGTCTCGCTTCAATGCCCGGCCCGGGACGTTTTCTAGCTGGGTTCTAGCAGGGTTCAGTTCAGTTCTGCTCCCCATTCCCACAGCTACTCGGAGGCACCCCAGGCCCCAGTGCACCCCCCCCCCTCCGCACTTTACCCTGCGCTTGGGCATCGGTTCCCAGAGCTGACGAGAGAGGATCGCCACAGCTGAAGCCTGCCCCGCCTCCGAAACACGTTTCCTACTCCCCAGGATCTCTCCTCTCGGGCCGCGGCGGCGAACACCTGTGTTGTCTGAGCTTTGCCTCCAGCCCCAGCAGCGAGCGAGGGGGGCAGCGCCCCGCTGTGCCACGCAGGACAGGCCCCTGCGGGATCCTCCCCCGGTGCCAGCAAAGTTTTGTCCCGCGTTTTCTAGGAGCGTTGAAGCTGATTTCTGCCCCCCACCTCACCCCAGACATCAAACCAACAGGGGCGCCCCTGCCTCAGCCGAGAGAGCCCCGCGGCCAGCTGGTCCTCTCCCTCAGCCCGGGTCCCTCTGCCCATAGCCTGAGTGTGACCCCTCCGCCAGAGCAGAAGCGCTGGGTCCCAGCCCAGGCAGTCGCGAAAGTACGAGCCACACACGGGACTCATCGGCACGCCAAAGTCTCCGGCTGCAACGCTACCAACTTCCAGGGCTCCCCTGGCTCCACAGTGCGTGCTGCTTGGTTAGCACCCCCGCCCCGGCTGGGGCTCGCACACGCCACTCCCCAGGGGGCTGCTCTCTTCGCAAGGCAGAAGCCCGAGCTTCCTGTGATCAGGACCATTGATTTCCGTAAACACACGGGACTCATCGGCACGCCAAAGTCTCCGGCTGCAACGCTACCAACTTCCAGGGCTCCCCTGGCTCCACAGTGCGTGCTGCTTGGTTAGCACCCCCGCCCCGGCTGGGGCTCGCACACGCCACTCCCCAGGGGGCTGCTCTCTTCGCAAGGCAGAAGCCCGAGCTTCCTGTGATCAGGACCATTGATTTCCGTAATTGCCAAAGGAAAACATTGCGCGCAGTGTTTGGCAACGGGCGCCTCCCGCCTCAGAGACTGATCCTCCCCCCCTCAAAAAATTGCTGGATCTTTCTGAATCCAGTGAGTGGTTTTTCCCGCCCCTCCCCACGAGTTTCCAGTTGCTAATGAAAGGCATGGGAAATTGATCTCCCTTCTGTTATGTAACTGCCTTCTCCCCGGTCTGGCTTTACTTGGGGGTGACATTTCTCAGAGTAGGGAATTCAGGGACAAAAGAAAATAGAAAGGCAAGAATTGGGGTTCTCCTGGGAATGGACAACAGCTTGTTCCCCTTGAGCAACTCCGCCGTCTTACCTGCTTGTGGCACGTTGTGTTCATTCCATCATGATTTTCTTTTGGGAATGGAGCAGGATGTGGCCGGCTGATTGTTCGCGCAAGGATGGATTAACAACAAATAAAACGATGCTCAGTTTTACCTCGACCTTAAGCTGCTCTCTGGAGCCTCCATCCTCCCCGCTGCTCGCCCACCTCTTGATCCAGCTTGGCTTCTCCACATACACACAGCCAGGTGCAGCATTCAAGTCCAGTTCGCTCTGGGTTGCTAGGACAGAGTTAAGTGAGATCTGGAGATCAGACCGGCGGGGGGGTTAGGGGTGGGGAAGAAGATCCAGGCGGAATAGAAAACCACAGGCAGGGAGCAAAGTGATGGACCACGCAAGGAAACGTCATGAAATCCGCAGATTCAATGAATTCGACTCAATTCCAGGCGAGTGGTGCTGTGCTCGCCAGTCAGAGCTGTAACAAACAAGGCAGAGAGTGAGATCTGGAGATCAGACCGGCGGGGGGGTTAGGGGTGGGGAAGAAGATCCAGGCGGAATAGAAAACCACAGGCAGGGAGCAAAGTGATGGACCACGCAAGGAAACGTCATGAAATCCGCAGATTCAATGAATTCGACTCAATTCCAGGCGAGTGGTGCTGTGCTCGCCAGTCAGAGCTGTAACAAACAAGGCAGAGGAAATAAAATTG